CACTAGACAAGTGCTGGCGACGATGATCGCCGCCTGTCGTTAGATTCGTCTGGGTGCATGGTATCGTTGGTGAGGTTGATCTGCTATGAGCTGTGCAAAGCTACCCTTGGCGGCAATGTTGCACTCGAAAGAGTAGGACAAGAGGGTGGCGAAGGTTCAATGATGGCCAAAATTGGTCCCCATCGAAAGGACGTTGGTATCCACAGGTTGCTGTTCGTGGACCTCGGCTGTGAAAGCTCACAATTCTATTAGCATCGTCCGAGACCCATGGCTTCTCCCAACCACCACGGCTGGACGACCGAAGAAGACGTCTTCCTCTACCACCTCCTGCACTGCTACCTCAAGGGTATTCTCGACGACGAGAGCCCTCCGCTGCTGCGGCAGTACCTTGCCCGAGAGCTCCAGTGCAAGCCACTGCGTATTTCCAAGCGGCTCGCCAAGGGCCAGTGGCTCCTCGGCCACTACCTCGCGCACACCTTTGGCCGCGTCTGCTACGAGCCCGCGGCGACATTCACGCAGGCCGACGTCGAGTCGCTCAACCAGGTCAAACTCGCCCGCAACCACTTTCACGTGGCGCTCCAGCGCAAACGGTCTGGTCGGCACCAGAAGACAACTGGTCGCAAGATTCTCAGCATCGCCGAGATGATCTAGATGATGTACACAGAGAGGTTTTCAAGCTCACAGTGGTGTTCTCCTTTGTCGTATTGAGAGTATTGCTCTGGTTGCGACGGTTGGGTGTTTCACATTGGAACAAGCTTGTGTCAGAATCCCATGTCGTCGGCGTCTTTGGCCGCGCGCTGCTGATCGATGGCTTCGTCGCGCATGCGCCGGCCAAAGTAGGGGAAATCCAGCGCCGACAGCAGCATCGAGAGGCTCTCGAAGACGTCCGAGTCGCGCATCGTCGCTTGGACGCTCGACAGGACGTCGTAGAGCTCTCGTGCGTCCATCTGCAGAGCGTCGCGGTGATCGACAACTTCAACTTCAGCCGTCTACCTGCTCGTCGTTGAGAAACGCAGCTATCATGGCTTCGTGCATGCACTCGTACGTCTGTGCAAGCTCCATAAGGAATGTATCGTGAGCGCTCGTGCTACCTGAAAGAGCTCAAAGCACTCAAGCGGCTGCTCGTCGTCCTCGTCAAACGTGGAAAAGGTCATCGCATGCCTACGCCCGATGAGCGCAGGCTTCAGGTCCAGTCGTACTGCGCAGCAAAGGCTTGGAACGACGTCTCCAAGTTGTCTACAACAGACAGATTGTACATCGCTGCCTCTCGACAGAGTGTACACGTCGCAGCAAAGGCGCAAAGACGCTCGACGACCGCCACGCGCTGCGTGTCGTCCATGCAATTAGATAACGTTGTCAAGACCGTTTCAGATAGATAGATAGATAGATAGATAGATAGATAGATAGATAGATAGATAGATAGATAGATAGATAGATAGATAGATAGATAGATAGATAGATAGGCGTGGCTTTGCGACAGACTAGGAGCCCACGCAGGACGAGTGGCGCGACAAAAAGTTATAGCAAGGTCTTGGTTATAGCCAAGGCTGTTTTATTCTGTTGGTTATGGGTTTGCAAATAAGACCTTTCATGACTTAATGAATCGCCTCGACGAGCGGGTCCAAGAGCGATTTGCCGAGCCAAATAAGACCTGGGTCGTCGCGCTGTAAGACCAAGTGCGTTTGGTCTACAAATGCGTCAGCGACTGTCGCCTCATGTTGAGATTCGTACCTGGTAGCTCGTCGATAAACCCAATGTGCGTGAGCAGCTCCAGCGCCGGCGGAACGCCCATGATGTACATGGCAATCCGCGCATTCGTCTTGCGTAGTCGCCGGTACAGCGGGTTTGCCGGTGCTTGCAGAATGTTGGAGAGCACGGCGTGGAGCGACCGGAGAACGTTCGTCTGCTGCGAACGTGGCTCGTGGAGGAGGCGCGCGCGGAGAGCAACGGCCGCCGCCACAACACGCTGCTCGCGCTCGCCCAAGCTTTCCAGCAGCGCAGTGTCGAGCTCAATGGTCGGCAGATTCCATGGACGAGTCGCCGAGACTGGTGCCGGTACCGAGACTGGCGAGACTGGTGCTGAGGCAGGCGTTGGTGGTGCCGAGGCAGGCGTTGGTCGTGGCAGTGGGACGTTTTCAAGTATTGACGGAAGGGAGATCACGATGTCTACTGCTTCGGCGGGCGCCGACTGCGGCGCAGTGAATCGTTCGAGCGCGCGCTCCGCTCGCAGCTGCCTAGAAAGCAACGTCCTCGATGAGCTGCTATCACAGCAAGAGGGCTACCGTGAATCGATGGCGGCAGGTGTTGAGCCGCCCAGAACGTGGCCTCGTGCAGCGTGCGTCGGCGACGTGGTTGGCACTTGAATCGACGTTGTGGTGCCTGGGACGGTGTTGCACTCGGCTTCGACTTGGCGCATGAGTTGGTAGAACTCGTTGTTGTGGTCGCTCACATCCTAGTCGTCTTGCTAAGATCTGATTGTTCTCCAAAGAAGACTGCGTACGTTGTGCGTGAGCTCATGGTACAGCACCTTCTTGATGCTGCAGTGTTGATGAGAGACAATGGGCTCCAAGGTTGTCGTACGTGAGGTATTTGCGAAAGCCTTGGAGGTCGTCGGTGCGCAGCCGCAAGAGAATGCGCTGGCCCTTGTTCTCGTTGAGGCCCAAGACGCAGACCGGGTCGACGCCGACCTTGCCGTCGGGAAACATCTCGGCCAGCGCCCCGACGGTCCACCTACCTCGTCCCATCAGTACGCCTGCCAACGATACTTTGATTGTCTACTTGTGCTTGGCCATGACGTGGAGAATGCCCTTGTCCTGCGCCAGCGACGTGAGGATCGCACGCGCCTTGGCTTCGTCCGGCAATCCCGGCAGCGTCTACGAGCTTGTGGATACCGAGAATTGTGCCTAGAGGTATCGTACTTGGATCTCGTGGAAGCGGTACGCGAGTGCGGCGTGGGCACGTGCACTCAGAACTTCGTTCTTGGCTTGGATGCTCACCAGCGACCGCGAGGCGCTACGCAAGCGTGAGCTCCTATGCAGTGTCGATGGCGAGCGTACCGCGTCTCCTCAATCTTCTTGAGCGCAGCCTCTTGCTCGTTCATGGCCGCGATCGCCTCGGCGGACGGCCGCACAAGCAGCACGGCGGTGCGTCCGTCGTCGACCACAACGTCGTCGTCGGCCAGTACCTTGCCCTTGACAATGAGCCGCTGCTGGTCGACGGGTGCATGCGTCAGCGCCTCGATCTGCTTCTTGAGCTCAGCGACGGACGACCCGTCCGCACCGAGCGGCAGCGACAGAACGCGCTCAGCGTGCTTGACGCGGAGGACCTTCATGGCCAAGGGCAATTTCAAATTGGCCTTTCTTGGCGTCTTTTTATTTTTATATTTATATCATTTTAAAAAATGTTCGCGAAATCGGCGCCGGTGGCTGATGCCATCGACGAGAACATGCGAGCACGCGTAGAGAGCACAACGCTTCGTTAAGAGTCTGCGTGAATCGTTATTTATTGCTTCATTCAAGTCACTCCCCGCGTGTCCAGCACGCAACACTGATGCTAGAGCAAGCAACGTGAGATGACAAATATTCCTAAACCCACGTTTGGCAGTTGACTACCGAATGACAATCGGCGCGTCCCGACACTTGCATGCTTCTATCATCAAGGCCTTCTTGTTGCTACGAGTACCGTACGGCAAAAGATAACAAAATGACTAAATGCTCGTTCTGTACTAGTATTCCACTAGAGCGACTAACTACTCGCGGTACTTTTTCACAAAGTCTTCCACGTCGTTGAGCGGCTTGACCTCGCCGCGCTTGGTGAGCCAGAGCACCGTGTCGGGTGCGACCGCGCGAAGGAACGCTTCGTCGTGCGAGATGACGACGATCGCGCCGCTAAAGCTCTTGATGGCGTCCGTGAGCGCCGCAATGCTGCTCATGTCCAAATGGTTGGTCGGTTCATCGAGGATGAGCAGCTGCGGACTCGTCGGATATGTGATCAAACCCATCGCAAGGCGAATGGCTTGGCCGCCCGAGAGCGTCTCGCACGGCGCATCGCTCACAAAGGCACCGCGTAGACCGAATTTGGCCAAGTGCCGCCGGCCCAGGTCCTCCGTCTCGGGCGAGAGCAGCTGGAGCGGCGTCTTGGCCTCGTCTTTGAGCGTCTCGACGACATCTTGGGTGAGCGCTCCCAGCCGGACAAGGGGCGCGAGCGTGATGGTACCGGCCGTGGGCTGTAGCCGGCCTTGCAATAGCTGAATGAGCGTACTCTTGCCCGTGCCGTTGCAGCCGAGCAAGACGATGCGCTCGCCGTGGTGGACGTTGAACGAGATGTTCTTAAGCATCGGCGTCGACGGCGTGTACCCAAAGCACAGCTTCTCGACCGACAAGAGCGACGTCGTCGACGGCACGTCGAGCGGCTGCGAGATGACCCAGTGCTCCGGCTCATGCAAATCAATGAGCTGGTCCTCGGCGCCGGCGCGGCGGTCCTCAAAGTACCCGATGCGGTCCTTGTTGATGCGGAAGCGGTGGCCTTTGGCGTTCTTTTCGTTGCCAACGCGCTCGATCTTCTTCTTGCGCGAGGCGGCGGCCGCGAGCCGCTTGTCGTCCCCCGCCTTTTTGCCCGCGAGCGTCATTTGCGCGACTTGGTTCTGGAGCTTCTCGGTCTTGGCCTGCATTTTCTCGTTCAACTTGGCGTTGAACGCGTCCTTGTCTTGGACCGTCGTCATGAACGTGTCATAGTCGCCCTGGAAGTACCTAGTCGCGTCACATGACATTCTTGTCGCCACATTCGGTCGTTACCCGAGTGTCTTGTTGGTCTTGATGACTACAATGGCGTCCGTGACGGCATTTAGAAACGCGCGGTCGTGCGAGACCGTCACGATCGTCATGTCGCCAAGGTGGTCGTTGATGAAGCGGCCGAGCCACTGGATGCGGGGCAAGTCCAAGTGGTTTGTCGGCTCGTCGAGCAAGAGCAGATGCGGCCGCAAAAACTCAATCTGCGCAAGGAAAACGCGCATCTTCCAGCCACCCGACAGCTGTGCGAACGGCTGGTCCTGCTCCGTGACCGTTGTCAAGCCTAGTCATTTCTATCGCATCCACGGACAAAGACGGCTTGAGCGTACCGATGCTCGACAGGATTTCCCGGGCCTTGGCCTCCGACGACCGATCGAGGTTGCTGTAGAGCTCGTCGAGGAGCTCCTGCGCGCGGAGAACGTCGTCTTCCGTGTCTTCGACCTCGGCCATGTCGGTGAGCTCGGCGCGCACGCGGGCGAGGTCGCCTTCGAGGGCGAGCGCCTTGTTGCGCGCTGTCAAGCCGCGGAGACCGCTGCGCTTGGTCGCGACGCGAAGCATCTTGGCGAGCGCAAACTCCGTGTCGAGGCAGCGGAGCTCGACCAGTGTGCGGTGGACAGTCTGTGCGTCGAGCGCGGCCTCGAGCGTATCGATGCGGCGCTGGCGGTGGAGCCGCTCCTTGTCTGCAGCCATGAGCACGTCGAGGACCGAGACGATAGTGTCGCCGTCGGCGAGGTCGAGGTGGAAGAGCTGGTTCACGTACATGACCTGGAGGCTGGACGAGATGCCTTCAAAGAGCCCATCGCCGAGCGCCTGCAGCAAGGTCGACTTGCCCGTGCCGTTGCGGCCGACGAGGCCGTAGTGCACGCCCGTCTCGAGCTTGAGATTCGCGTCGACGAGGAGCTCGCGCTTGCCAATGCCGAGGTTGACTTGGACGAGGTGGATGTTGAGGTTCTGGTCGTCGACCGTCTGGAGGAAGAAGCGGTCGGTCTGCGACGTGGCCGTGATGAGCGTCGCGGCCGCCGAGCCGTCGAGGAGCTCCGACGTCACGTTCTTCTTGCGGCTCGTCTTGCTCTTCGGGGCCATTTTGCACTTTGCCAACGTCGCCAGAAAGGCCAGATAAGGCCAGCGCACGTTCGGTGAAAAAGCCGCTGGCCTGTCTACAACCATCATTCTTACATGTCGAATGCTGGTCGACATGTAAGAATGATGGTTGTAGACAGGCCAGCGTGTTCGGATCACGTTGCTCGTGGACGGGAGGCCGCGGATGCAAGGCAGCGCTGCCAAATGTCAACGCCGAGTACATGTAGATACTGGTAGGCGCCATTATACTCGTGGGGTGAGAGGTCGGTTGGAGATGGTGACTTGGCGAAGCTGGTCGCCATCGTGATGGCTGTGGTGGCGGCGTTGGAGCATCGACGAAGCATGAGACATCATCCACTTGGACGCGATGTGGTGTAGTCCATGCTACGCTTGATGAACGTGATAACGCAGCGCAACTAAACACGATCTTGCAACTCATTTTGACGGCGTACTTGGGTCATTTGCTACAAAAGCAACGCGAGAGTAGACACTACGTTCTGAGTGGTTGATTAGGTTTGGCGGGGATCGAGAGACTGTCTTGTGGTTCCTCGTGATCTAACCAACATAAGAACACGAAGAGCGTTAGAGAAGAAGGGACGGAGGACGACTTGGGCTGAGCTTTCGACGTTCGGTGTTCTCTCGTATAAACCAGCGAGCCTGGCGGCGATGCCACGTATAAAATCTCGTAGCGTTGATGACCACCGTGCTTCAGCGACAGAGCTCTCAAAGGCGTCGTAACGGCCAACGCCGCTGTACGCCACAGGCGTTGTCGCGCGTGCCTCGTTGTCGATGCTTCGTCTTTGCGTGAATGTCCTCTTTCTACGGTGAATTGTCTCGGAAATCACCGTCGTTTGCACCGTACCGCGCAGAGTCCAACGCAAAATTTGCGGTACCGCGCAGAGTCCAACGCGAAATTTGCGGTACCGCGCAGAGTCCAACGCGAAATTTGCGGAATTTCACGTTTGGATCATCGTGGACAGGCGGAATACCTACATTCTCACGCGGGTGTTTCAGCACCAAGCAACCTGCCAGTTGTCAGAACAAGCATGGACCTCAAGGAGCTCCTCCAGCAGGCGCGGACGACGATCGCCGAGACCTGGCACCAAGCCTCGGCCTGCGAGAAGGCGCAGTACGTTGTCATTGGGCTCTTGCTGCTCGTTGTCGTCGTCTCGGGCGCGGTCCTCGTCCTCGCCTTCATCGGCCTCGGCGTCTCGGCGCACACCAAGGACGTGATCATCGAGGTGTGTTCGCAGATCCTCAACGGCTGCTTCACGCTCTCGGCCGTCGCGACGCACCCGATGCGCTTCTACATGCTCGTGCTCGTGCTCTCCCGGCGCGACGCCAGCCACGCGACGATCCAGTCGTGGTTCCCGTCGCTGCCGATCGCATTCAGCAGCAAGACACACAGCCACGCTGTCGTGCCCATCTCGTCGATCCAAGGCGTCCTCATTGTGCTCAACCTCAACTGCTTCTTCCAGTACCCGCTCACGGCCGTCATGTGGGCGTACAACTACCACGTCCGCCCGGTGTGGGTGATCGCGACCTGCCTCCCGCTCTCGTTCGCCTGCGCCATCGTCGCTGGCGTGTGGCAGTTCAAGCTCAGCCGCCGCGTCCAGCACGGACAGATTGAGCTGCTCGAGAACGACCTCTCGACCGACCTCCAAGCCTAAGATAAATACCATGTGAATCGAATACAAACTGTACTAGACGACCCAAACATTATTGTCGCTGTGTCCTGTTATACGACGTATTTTGCTAGCATTTGACGAGGACTAGGGTTGTAGACTTTGGTGCAGCGCGTCATGCTGGGTGCAGTAGCGATGGCCAGAGATTCCCTAACGTTGCGCTAACCAAACCAGCAACGGCGGTACGCGTGAGGCATGTACGATGAATATCAATGTATCGAGTGGAGCTCGGTTCTTTCACTTAGCTCGACAGAATCTTTTTAACGGCGCGAAAGTCCTGCTTCCAGTTGAGCCGGACCACAAACGTCTTTTCGAGCGGCACGAGCGTGACCCAGAACGGCGCCTTCTTGGCCAGTAGCTCGACATGCTCCTGGAGTCGCTCTAAGACGCAGAACTTATGATCCGCGCTCAGAACGTAGTTGAAAGTACCAGGAATCGGCGCCCGCGTAAGCTCTGCGAGCAGCGTCGGCAACAGGATCGCGCTCTTGTTGACGCACTTGGAGTACGACTGGAGCTGGTCCGCGAGCTGCGGCAGCGTCTGCAGTAGCCGCTCGGAGCTCGCCACATCCGCCTTCTCGACCAGATGCGCCTTGCGGTGTTCGGCCAGGCGCACCTAGTTGACAAATCAGATCTTTTTCGCATCACTAGATTCACCTTGTTGACAAGCCAAAGTGGGAGGCCTTGGAGCTCCTTTGGGATCGGCTTGGCCAGCACGGCGGCTTGCTGCAGCGGCGTGAGCTCGCTCGCGTGGCGCTCTTCCTGCGCGCGCAGCTGGTCTAGCGGCGTCGGGCCCAGCGCGTCTTCGAGTCGAGGCAAAGCGGCCTACTCAGGAAGCAATGGTCGCCAGCGACAGTGCAGAGAGCATTTTACGGGCGGGATCTCGATCGTCGTCAAGTCGGCCGTGCCAGTTGTGAGCGCGAGCGCAATGCGGTCATTGACCGCGCTGCAGAACGCCTCCATGCGCTCGCGGAACGAGAGGCTGGCCAATGCCTCGGGCACGCTCACGCAGAGCTCTAGCGGCACCTTGTGGTTGTCGGGCGCCTTGGAAAAACTCAGTTCGTACGCGTTTGGAAGCAGCGTCAAGAGCTGCGCGAGCTCGTGCTCCGAAAAGGTGCTATAAGATCTGAGCGTCGGGCGGACGGGATATCGATGCGCGTCGTACCATTTGGCCGACGACTCGATCGCGCGGCGCAGCGCCGAGAAGCTCGGCGTGCGCTTGTACAAATTGAGCGTCGTGATGCTAAACTCGAGCGACGCAAAGAGCTGCACGAGCGTCACGAGCTGCGGCGGCGCGTGCTCGCTGAGCGCATACTCGGCGTACGGCGTCCCGGCCACGGATGGCTTGGCGTCGATAGCCGGCGCATCGACCTTGACGCGCTTGGCGTCAGTCGCCGGCGCGGCCTACGTCGGTCGCAGCGTCAGGACAAGCCGTCGCGACGCCTCGCTACCTCGCCCGCCCGCTTCATTGCACTTGGCATCGCAAATGCAAGGTGCTGCAACCGGCGGAATATCCGGATTCCGCAAAACCCATTCGCGCCGTTTTTGTCGGCGACCACGTTGAGCCGCCTTGCTATGGTGCCAGTACACTTGATAGTCCTTCCTACATGTGATCCTGTTACCTCTGGCTCGCTACTTGCGGTGCACGCAGCGTGGGTCAAGGAGGGAGCCAGCGAGTCGGTACAGGACCCGGCTGCTACGCGCTGCAACCTCGACTTGGACGTAAAAGGTGGTGTCCTCTTGATGGACGAGCCTAGTGCCAAATCTTATTTTCTGAGGCAATCTCAAGTGGGTATTCTAGCCAGCCCCAGCCTACTGCTTGAGACGCTTGGAGGTTGGCTATTTGTCGTCGTGCTTGGTCTCTTCGTCGTCGCCACGCAGGAAAGCTTGAAGCCACGCAATTCGGTCGATGTCGGCGTGCCGTTCGTCAAGCCGCGTCTCGTACGCAGCGAGCTCTGCTGGCGGCACGCCATGCAACGGCAGCAGCTTTGCGACAGCAAAGTGAGGCGTCTCCATGTCGAGGGTCACGCGCGTTGGGTGGCAGGCGGTAAAGGCGAGCGCGCTGGGGCAAGGCGCCATGTCCGTTTCGAGATGGCACGTCACCTCGCTGGGGGAGTGCAGAAAGGCTTGGAGGCGGCGGCAACAGCAGCATGCGCACGGCGGCAGCACCAAGTCGCCAAAGGCAACGTCGACAAGCTGCGGGAGGTCGACCACGGCTTCGGCTTGAAGCACAGCGAGGGTCGCGGTCGCAAGACGTCTCTCGCCAAACGTTTGAAGCAAAGGCAGCGCAAAGTGACGGTGCCATGACAAGTTGTCGCCGAAGCAGTCGAGGAGCCCAGTGATCAACGCACCGAGGTGCGTTGGCGACCAGCGACGAAGCAGGTCGACGGTCGTTGTCAGCGACGCAAAGACACGCCGCAGCTGTGCACCCATGGGAGCCAAAATGTCGTGAATGTCGACCGTCCAGAGCGGCGGAGGATCCGTCGGGTCGGCGTCATGCAGCACCGAGAGCTTTTGCAGCTCCACCAGCATCATGCGAGCGGTGGCAGAGAACGGAACTTGAACGGCGCCGCTGTTTGGGAGGCCATTGAGAAAGCCCCAGAGCGCGCCCGGCGCGTGGGTGCGCCACTTGTTCACGAGCACGAGAAGCGCAGCGTGCGTCAAGCTGCCGAGTGCCTGGAGCACACGAAGCACGGTCGTTCGCTGGTCATTTGTAATGTTGTCGTAGTCGTTGGCGGTCAAGACGGTCGAGAGGAAGAGCTCTTCGCAGCGCGGCAAGCGACGTGGCCACAGTGCATGTAACGCTGGAGCAAGATGAGACCACGGGTGCACCGCACGACGTCTGGCGAGACGCGCAAGCCCATCGGACGGCAGACGGAACGCATCGATGAGCCGCAGCGGCAAGTCCGGAAGACGATGTCGGAGCCATGCGCCGTCAAGTGAACCATGCCAAACGTACTCTTCGAGAAACACGCAGTTGGAGACGACCGCCTCTCGCCAGGTGTCGCCTTTGGGTTCTACGGCGACAAGGGCGACGTAGCCAGCGAGAATGAGCTCTCGCAGGTTGGGGATGTCAAAGAGCGGGCAGACGGGGCGGCGCTTGAGGCCCGCGATCTCGACGAGCAGCGCAAACCCGCGGTTGGGATCGTGCGACTGCCAAACCGCCATAAGCTGTTGGAGCAAAACGTACAGTGCGTTGAGGCCCAGCCGTTCAAAAGCATCGCGGAGGGTGGCCACAGCACCGCCAACTGTCATCTGTTTGATAACTTTCGTCAAGAGCGGCGACGCCCAGAGCTGCGCCACGAGGTCGACAGTGCCCAATGCGTTGGTCATGCGGCAAAGGTGCAGCACAGAGGACATCGTCCAGCCCCTGACGTCTTGGGCAGAGGCTTGCGAGATGTGCTGGACAAGACTCTCCACGAGCCATCGAAGCGAGACACCAGCATGCACAGCCGTCTCGGGGTGCGCCTCAAAAGCTTTGAGAGCTATGGGGATGCCAAGGGCGGCCGCACGACGCGACGTGGGCCAAAACACAACGGTCGTGCACTGGGAAGACCACGGATCCGTGTGCCGAGAGCGAAGAAATGCGCCAACCGAGCGACCGACAAGGCGGCTCGCAGCCTCGACCGGAAGGCGCAGCGCCGGGCACAGCGTCGCCTTTGAAATCACGTACGCGCCGCTGCCTTCTCGGCTGGCAACGGACGGCTCGAAGGTGACAATGGCAACATCAAAGGCCTTGGACGCGACGAGCGCCGAGACGAACGCGCGATCGAGGGTGGATGTCGCCAGTGCCTCCCAGTAAAACGTCTCGTGCATCACGAGCCCAAACATCGCGTGCTTGTCCGAGGTGCCGGCCGCCACGGCGGCAAGAGCTGGGGCGACGGCGTCTTGAGCGGCCTTGAGGCGCGGCAGCTCCCAAAGCTGCAGAAACATGGTATCAAACGACGGCGAGAGGCGCACGCGATCGTAGAGCGCGACGTCGGCGTCGCGTACGGGGGCCATGTTGCGTTTGCCACGTTAAATGAATTTGTGATAGCGGAACTGCGGCCTTTGCGCGTCGATTATTGGCTCAACGAATACTGCGGAACTCCCTTTTTTACCTGATTTCGCATCGACGCGCCCTGCATCACAGGAGTCCAAATAATGGCAACTGCAAACGTTGAAATCGCCAACTTGAAGACTCGTCGTCGGTTTTTGTCGTGCTGTTCCCAGCCTTTGCCACGTCATTGGCTGTTTCCACCAGCCTTTGCCACGTCATTGGCAGTTTCCACCAGCCTTTGCCACGTCATATCTGAGGGTTTTGCCTCTGTAGGATTTTGTCTTGGAGCTTGTATGTACAACCCGTATGTGCGATATCACGCAACTGCCGTTGCGCAACATATATCCCTCCAAAGCATGCGTCTGGTAATGCAAAGCTTGTGTATTCAAACTCGTAAATTTCAGACGACAGCGTGGATCTCGGCCTTGGCCTGCTCCAGCGCGCGCAGCTTAGCCGCGAGCTCGGTGCGCGCGGTGGCATTTCCGTCGCGCAAAAGCCGTTCGAGGATCGCATCGGTCGCCTCTGTCGTCGCCAGCTGGTGTCTGAGCTCCGTCATGAACGGCACCAAGAAGCGCGCTTGGAGTAGCATTGGGATCTTGTCGCTGAAGCGCTTGGCAGCCACGTGCAGGTACGCCTGCAGCGCCCAGAGCAGGTCCCGCGCCTGGAGGTCGTCGAGCGACTCGTGCGTCATGCAATGGAGTTGCACGACGGCCTTGACTGCGCCAATTGAGACACGGCCGTCGTCGCTCTCATCTACACACCAAAAAGAATGAATCCACAGGATTTGAAGTCGCGAAATCGTGTGTACCAGCAAGGGCATCCAGGGCCGACAGCAACGGCATCGACCGTTGGCGGTGGAACCCAGCAGCTACGTCGGTGTTCATCGTGTACGGTCGTGCTTCCATCGCGAGAGCTTCGTCCAACGTCTCTTCCATGGCTCGGCCGAGCGACGTCATGAGGTCCGTGGCCACCGATGTGAGATGCCGCTGGAGCGCACCAACACTGGTGCTGGACGCGATGGCGCGGCCGAGAAGGACCTTGAGCGACCGGGCATACGACCCGTAGAGACTGTGCATGGGCGCGTGCCATTGCCGAACGTACTGCTGCCGCACAATGTTGGCAAAGGTCGTGTACGAGAGGAAGAGCGGGAGCTCGTCACCGCGGTTGGCGACCATGAGCGTCTTGATCGCGTCGAGGTTCAGACGCGGGAGGTGGCGCCAGTCAAGGCTGTACGTGAGCCAGTGCGTCGGCTGCGACGTCGTCAACACCTCATTTGGACGCTCGTGGAGTCGCGTGACTTGGTCCAGCGTCCAGGATCCGTCAGCTGCTCGCACGTGCACGTAGTCGCCGACCGCCACACTCCGCGCCGCGTCGTCGGCCATCGACGTTGTCACGGTCGCGTGGTCGGCCACGGCTGAGCTAAACTCGGACTCGAACGCCCGGAGCTGCGCGCGGAGCCGGTTGTCTGCACCGACCTCATCGTTGTCAAAGAAGGACAGGTCGTTGTACGAGCCGTCGAGCGCCATGCCGAGCCGCGACGTGACCGTCCGAGCGACGTTGGAGAAGCTTCGGCGGCGGGCCTCGGGCGTGTCCAATGGCGCCCCGAGCTCCGCCAGACGATGCTTGCAATCACGAATCTGCGAGTCCAACTCGGCAGCGACAGCCGGCAGCGCCGCCTCGATCGTGTCGGTGAGCAGCGCCGAGAGCTTCAATGCGAGGTTCTGCGTGCCGAGAAGCGACCGATCGATGGTGCGCCACACGTCGTGCGACGCAAAGTAGGCGGCTTCGTCGCGGCGAGCGTCCGCTATCGACACGCCCGTGTTGAGCGCGTGCTGGCCGCGACACTTGACCATGTGGTACCCGAGGCGGCGCTGCTTGGTCTTGTTGAGAAGCAACTCGACGACGCCAGCCTCGGCGCCGACGTCGACGAGGTCCGGTTTCGTGATGATCGAGAGCGTCCGGGCGCCAGTCGGGTCGGCCTCGGCCGCAGCTTGCAAAATCTCCGAGTTGTGCATGCTGACGTTGGCCGGCACGACGGCGAGGATGATGGTGCGCTCCTGCGCCAGGTAGCGCTTGACGAGCTGGCGCACGCGTGGGATCATGCGTGGGTCTTCGCCATCACGCACGGTGCGCACGAGACCCGGGAGGTCGGTGAGCGTCAGATCCGGAAAGCTCGGGCCCTGAAGCGTGATCTCGATCGCGTCGTCGCTGATGCTCTGGCCCTCGGCTAGCAGCTGCGTCGTCAGCGCTTCGATCGCCGACGTGACTTGGTCGAGGGTCGTGATCGTCGTGACGGTTGCTGGCGCGGCGGTCGACTGGAAGCGGCGGAGACGGACAGTGCCATGCAGTGTATGTGCGTGCGAGAGGATGAGCTGCGTCGGACAACGCGTCGTGAGCTCGCCGGCCGACGGGAACGCGATGCCCGAGAGCGCCGACAAGACGGACGACTTGCCGCTGGACGTGTCGCCCATCACTGCGATCTGCGGCAGGTCCACGTGCTTGTCCAGGCCAAAGGCGCGGAGCCGGTCGACGAGGCGCCGCGTCTCTGCACGTGGCAGCAGCGTCGACGCGGCGTCGTCGTGCAAGGCGGGTTGCACCATGGTCGAGAGAGCTGGTTGAGAGAGGTTGAAGAATGAGGTGGAGTACAGTGTAGGCAAATCGAGTTGATAGAATCCGGATACGACGACACGAGACAAGGCGGCATGCAAAGTATCAAGCGGTATCCGGATAATTGTATCAAGCGAGCCACGCACACAGGAACGCATGGCCATGCTGGCTCGGTTTCGCTGTCGTCGTCGTCGTCGTAGTAGTAGTAGTAGTCGTAGTAGTGGCAGTAGTAGTAGTTTTTGTCGCCTTGCCTCAACTGTGCGGTTTGCTCGCTTGGTGGACGAGGTAGTGACGAGTCGCTCGTCACGGACAGGCTACCATCGTTGACGTCCTCGTCGACTCTGCGGTCCGCTGCGTCCAGTCCGAGAGATCACCTACAGTGAAGTACATGCCACTTCAACCTGGGCAGGACCTCCTCTGTCTCTTCTGCGTAACCCATCTATGGGTCGCGTTGACCTCGGTGATCGCAATGGTGGGCAGTTTGCGATGCCGATGCGACGATGCACCCAGCGCTGCGCCTGCCGCCCCGCTTTGCAGTACCGCTGGTCGGCTGCGTGGTCTCTACGTTCATTGGCGCGCATGCCAGCGCTTCCGCCCGTGCGTCGTCTTTTGGTTCAAGACGCGCCGAGCGGATGTTCAGGACGCCACCGCTGATCACCTGGCCGCTCCCTCGCCCTTTGTCGCGATGGCCCCGTCTCCAGCCTCCAAGCGCTCGTCGACCTTTTGCCAGAGACCGAGGTGGAGTCACACCGACGTCGCACGTATCGCAGGGCTCCAAGCCTTCGTGCGTGGCGATGACGAAGAGACCAAGGACAAGCGCCATCCACCAAGCGCCCCAAGACAACGCAGTAGGCTGTGGCTGGTTACACTTGAGATTGGCTAAGAAAAAATAAAATTTTACACTGGATCCTTTGGTTGATACTTTCGGCTTGTGTTGAAACATCGCTCGTATCAACTTGATACCGAAACGACGACGTGCAATCCCGCCGCTTAGCCAAGACCGATACTATCGATTCCCCTAGCTCGATATTTTGAAGTTCATGTCATATTGGTACAGGAGGTCGAGCAACGACGTCTTAATAAGTTAGTTGGCCACGGGCTTGGCAAGTTCATCGTCGAGAAGCGTGTCGTCCAGGTCGTCGGCTTGACTCAGTTGGCCGCTGCTGCCACCCGAGGCGCGCCAGAGACGCATCTCTTCGAGCGCCGAGCCGAGCTGCGTCACGTCGCGCTTGCCCTCGTCGTCGCCGCCGTCGGTACCAGCAGTGTTGCAGCCGAGCATCCACGGGTCGTGCAGGAGAGCGTCGGCCGTGAGCCTCTGGCTGGGGTCGACCGTGAGCAGCCGCCGGACGAGAGCCTTGGCCGCGTTCGACACTTGCACCCACGGCGCAGCGTCCATCGAGTAGGCGCCGACAGCGACGCGGGCGAGAATATCGGCGTGGTTGTGCCCCGGGAACGGCGGCTGGCCCGAGAGCAAGATGAAGAGGAGCACGCCAAGGCTCCAGCAGTCGACAGCGATGCCGTACTTGATGCCCTTGACGACCTCGGGTGCAATGTACTCCGGGGTGCCGCACGCCGTGCCGAGGTGGTTCCCGAGGCTCATGCGCGCGAACCCAAAGTCGGCGAGCATGATCTCGGCGCCGGGCGCCGACGAAAATAAGAGGACGTTCTCCGGTTTGATGTCGCGGTGCATAATGTTTTGCGCATGGATGTACGCGACGGCGTGCGCGAGCTTGAGGAGCACGTGGCGCGCGTCGTCTTCCGTGTACTGCGTGCGCTTGACGAGGTCCTGGAAGAGCTCACCGCCCGTGCAGAGTGGCGTGACAATGTAGTACATGTCGACTTCTTCGACAAAGTCGAGGAGCGGGACAATGTTGGGGTGGCGCAGCTGCCGGAGGATCGCCACTTCTTGCAGAAGCGACGTCTGCTCGTGCCGGAGCAGCTTGGCCTTGGCGATGCACTTGACAGCGACTTGCTTGAGCTGCTGGTGGTGCCACCCGACGCGGACGACCGAGTGGGCGCCCGAGCCCAGGATGCGCCCGAGCGAGTACGTCGACGCAAACGTGGCCGACGACGGCTGCCGGTGGAGCCGCGGTCCGTGCACAAACGTCGACTTCAGCTGTCGCGACGAGGACGAAGCACTTTGCTTGTGCATGGCCTTCATGATGACCATGTACGCCGTCTTGACCGCATCTGTCCAGAGCGTCGACGCGGTCGCCAGCTTTTGCTCGGCCGCGAGCGCCAACACCTTCTTGACGGTCTCGTTCCATGCGCCGTCGAGAACCTCGCCGACCATCTGATCGAGGACGTGCACGAGCACGTGCTCGTCGTCGCCGCCATCGAGCTCCCGGATGAGCGCGACAAAGATCGGAAACTCCTCGGCGAGTACCTTGGCCGAAGCGACCGCATCGCCCGGTAGATCGTCGCTGCAGTGACCGACCATGTAGAGGTAGATATCGCGGGGCGCGGACGGCGCGAGGCAGATCATTGACGACGACGAGCCGCCCGCGAGCTTCATGGACGAGGACGATGAGACGCTCGCGTGGAACTTGGGGCCGCGCTGCGACGTGAGGAGGCGGATCCACTTGTCGCGGTCGTCGTCCGAGTTGGCCTGGATGTGATAGTCGATGGTCGAGTGGGCGTGGTAGAGCCAAAGGACGTTGGCTTGCCGTACAAAGGTCGCGACAAAGCAGTACGGGCGGTGGTCGGCGCCCGAGCTCTCGACGTGGATAAGGTCGGCGAGCCGCAGTTCGCCGCGGAGATACCGCTTGTCCGTGTTCCACGTCGAGCTAATGTGAGGCGACCGTGGCTTCTTGTAGTACCGGAGGTGCGTGGGCGTGAGGACGAAGAAGCGCGTGAGCCAGTTCTTGCGCAGGTGGCCGCGCTTCTGGAGGACGCCGCTCCAGAGGATCTCTTCCTTCTTCTTGGCGCCGCCCATCGAGGCCGAGCTCTCCTGCGGGTGCAGCACCTTCTCTTCCATGGTGCTGATCCGGTCCTCGAGGCCGCGCCGATGGGCCGTCGTCGACTTGGCAGCGTGGCGAGCGATCGTGTCAAGATGGCGGAATTGCGCACTGGACTCTTGGCACGTTGGCCGCTAATTCTGTCGCAGGCCCGTTCTTTCTAATCCTTGTACTTGGCAATCGTATGTAGAATAAAACATCCGCATTTAATAGCCCGAAAAATCGAACCGGAATTGGAGATTACGGTTGGACCAGTTGGTAATAAAAATCGCGTTTTCGCATACAAACTTCAAGAGACATTTGATTCGACTTGACTTCTGTGACGCACGGCCCGATGAGATCCCGCGGCCGCGGCCGCTGTCACGCGCCGGACGGCCGCGCTGTGCATGGGTCTTGCTCGAGGCCCGGAGCGCATGGCGGCGGGCGATGCGCATGGCCATGGCGAGGCGAACGAGGTACGGCAAGGCGGGGCTCGGACGTGGCTACTCTGGGTGGCAGCGGCCAGAGTAGCATCGCGAAGCAGCCGCCGACGTCCTGAAGCTTGGGCGACGACGAGGCTTGTCTATGGCATCCATTCGCATGCACAACAGGTAGCTCGATGATGGCCTCGCCATGGGTCTTTGGCGAAGCGCGGTGGCGCAGATGCGCAGGCGAACCGCATCTTGGATACGTACGCAGCATCCCACTCTGCGAACCATCTTCTCGAGACGACGAGACAGGACCCGACAATGAGCTTTGATCGCTTGCGTGTATGTGACGTGGAGGATCCTCATGCGTGCAGCAGCGGCTATGCGGCAGCCGGCAGCCGTGTCACACGGCTCGCCCGCTCCACGTCCTCTCCTCGCCACAGCCTTCGTCTGCATAGCATCGGGTCGCGTCTTCAGGCTACTCGAGCAGCCATCCGACGTCCATGGAAGCAGTGAGCGGGACAGGCGGCTGCGAGAAGAGGCATCTCTGGTCCGAGGTAGCGACACGAGATGCGGTGAATGAGGAGAGAGAAGACGAGAAGAACGGGCTTGGGATTGAACGAGCTATTGAGAGGGCCTACCAGTTGCTGCGTGGGCGGCCGCCGTAATCGCGGTCGCGGTTGAAGCTACCGCCACTGCTGTGGTTGTTGCTGCTATGGCTCGTGTAGCCGCTGTTGCGGCTCACCATGGACGCCATAAAGTCCTGTTCAAAGCGCTTCGCTTCGTGCTCGGGGCCGTCCGGCGGGCCGCGCTTGTTCGAGTGCGGCAGGTCGTTCGGGCAGTCCTGCTTCCAGTGGCCTTTCTGGCGGCACTTGTGGCACACGTACGACGGCGGCGGAATCTTGGCCTGCGGGCAGTCCGAGATGTAATGGCCCGCAATGTTGCAGCGCTTGCAGAGGTACCCCGGCGGCGGCGCCTTCTGCGTCATCTCGTCCTTGTGCGGGCAGTCTTCGATCCAGTGCCCCTTGGTGCCGCACCGGTTGCACGTGTAGTTGTCGGGCGGCGGCCGACGACCTGGCAGCGACGTCGGCTTTTGGCTGCCGTACGGCGTCAGAAGCGCGTCCATGCCGGGCACGGCGCTCGCGACGCGGTCGTCGGTCGGCGCTTGCAGGTTGTTGTACTTGTCGTCCATGCAGTCGCCCGGGCGGTTGCGCGACCAAAACTTGGTGCTGTGGTCGTTCGAGCCCGTCGAGACGACGTGGCCGGCCGGGTGCCACTGGATGTCCCAGACCGCATTGTCGTGAGCGTGCGGCACCGTCGCGATCGGGGTTTCCTTCCCGACCTGCCAGTAGAGCAGCGACCCGTCGTACGAGCCCGAGAGGAAGAGCGACTCGTAGATCGGGTGCCACGCGAGGCTCGTGACTTCGCGCGTGTGGCCCTTCATGGTCGCAAACTCCTTGAGCGTCCGAATGTCGTAGAGCTTGATGAGCTGGTCGCGCGACGCGGTGAGGAGCCAGTTGCCGTTCTGGTTCCAAGCGACCTTGACGACCGTGTTCTTGTGCCCGTGCAGCGTGTTGAGCGACGCGCCCGACTTGGGGTCCCAGATCTTGACGAGGTTGTCCTTGGAGCCACTCGCGAGCAGCGCCTTGGACGGGTGGTACGCCACGCACTTGACGTCCCAGCCATGCCCCGTGAGCACGCGCTCTTCCTTGACCGACTCGAAGTCCCAAATTTTGACGGTCGCGTCGTCCGAGCACGACACAAACTTGTAGTCGGTCGGCGAAAACGAGAGCGACCGGACGGCTTCGCGGTGGCCGTGCACGAGCTGGACGTTGGTCATGCTCGACTGCCAGTACTTGATGACGCCGCCGTGGTCGGCGGTCACAAACCAGTTGTCGTTGTGGCTCCACACCATCGCGCGCACCGCGTCGTCGTGCGCCTGCAAGATCGTCTCAAAGTTGAACGCGAGGCCGTTCCAGAGCGTAAACTCGCCGACCGAGTTGCCCGTGATGAGACGCCGACCTTCCGGTGTCCACATGAGGCAGTTGACTGGGCAGCGCTGCTTGTTGGTCGAGCTGCGGCAAAACTTGGTCGCAACGCACGACATGAGGTCGTCGCGGCCAAAGGCGCCGGGTGGCAGCATGTAGCGCTTGTACGCCGAGTGCGGGTTCATGCTGTACTGCGGCGGCAGGTCGCGGTAGTCGCGGGCAAACTTGCGCTGCGTGATGTACGAGATGAAGGTGGAGTTTGGGTCGATGCACTTGCGCACGATGGGCTTGCGGCTGCGCTGCTTGTCAAAGCCGCCGCCGCCGTAGCCGCCGCCGCCCTCGCCGCCGTGGTGGCCGCCGCCGTAGTGTCCGTGGCCGCCCCGCTGCATGCCAACCGCCAATGGAACTGTGTGAATTTTAAAAGCAAGGATTTTATTCGCTGGTCATTTGAGCTTGGCGATGCCAGATTTATTTTATTGCCGATGCGAGCCCGGACAAGCCATGCCACACACGCCGCCAGGGCCTCGCCGCGACCGGCTCGTGCGAGCCCGGCGCTGCATGGCGCTAGCCACGCGCACTGCCCAGGTGCAGGCATGGCCCGCGTACATTGCGATGCATCAACCTCCCTGCACCTTCATGCACGAAGATCCATCGCGGTCTGCTGCGCAGCCCTCTGCCAGGTCTGCCAGCGTCGTACACGCCGCATACGAGCAAGCATAGTACATAGGATATAGCTGCGATGCCACAGCGAGGGCTGGAAAGGCGAATAAGTTAACGCGGACCACGACGACGACGTGTCCTGCTATGGGCTGCACTGCGTCTGGATACCACGGAGAATGTCTTGGGTCGACTGCCGCGCGAGCGTGTTCTCGCGGCGGTCCTTTGAGAGCTTGGGCGCGACGGCCCGGGGCGGTGGGGATGGAGTCGCCGGGAGCCCGAGCGCCTCGGGCGTGACGACGTCGCCGAGACGGAAGCTGCGCGGGCCGTTGGTCGTCGATTGGCACGAGTTGTTGGACTCGCGCTCGCTCGACGCGCGCAGGGCCAAGTTGGATGCGCTTTCGCCCAGCACTGCCTGCGTCGGCTGCTGGTACCGCTTGATGATCGACGATCGCTGGACAAACACGTCCCACTGCTTGGCACTGCGGCGGTAGCTCGGGAGGAGCGCGTCGCCAACGTGCAAGAGCAGCTTGTACGAGAGCTCGGCAAAGATTTCATCAAGCGTATTGGGCAATGGCGCCGCAAGGGCCGCAAGCGTGCGCGGCCCGAGGTCGCGCCCGATGGCCGTGATGAGGACTGCGCCGGGGCCCATGCACTCGTCGTAGACCATTGCCGCTGGGATCGTTTCGTGGCGGTAGTGAGCAATCACCTTCCACGCAAGAACCTCGTTGACTTCGTGGCGCGCCAAGCAAAAGCCGAGAAAGTGATCGTAGTGGTCGGGGTCGCTCAGGAACTCGGCCAAGTCGGCAGCGACCGTTGTCCTATCGTACTCGACGCCCGCGACCGACGCGACCGAGCTAATGTGCGGTCCCGTCGCCAGCACCTTGTTCCCGTAGCCGACTAAACGTCAACAACTTAGTGTCCTTTGGCATGTGGACCGATGCCTACCGGCGCGGTGGCTGTGCAGAAAAACGCCGACAACTGCAAAGTGGAGCCACGTAACGGCAATGTCGTCGACGTAGTAGCGCCAGAGCGTCCAGTGGGCCGGCGCGACGCCGACAAGGAGGAGGAGTAGTGACGTCACAAGCGCACTACAGAGCGTCCGGACATACGCTTTGATGAAACCCATGGACGGGTCATCGATAGCGCGTCGGTAGCGACACCCAACAATGCATGCGAGCACGGTCGTGATGAAGCTCGGCACCAATTGGGTGGTGGCGATGGCCTAGTACTCGTCAAGGTACAAGAGAGTTGATCGCAAACATACGTGGTAGCGCGCGTCGCCTTGGCACGTCGCCACGTCCAAGGCAAAAATCGGAGGATCCACGAACAGATACGGCGACAAGACAACGATGAAGAAGGTCGTGGACGCGCAGAAGAACCGCGCCGGCGCCACGTGCGTGCGGAGTGACTGCAGCTGGCGCAGCACAACCCGTGACGGTGCCCGCGGGTCGGCGAGTTGCGCGAATAGATTGGTCATGGACCACGCCAAGAGCACCGATATGTGTGCGATGAGTACGAGGCCCCTAGTATAAAAGCAGCATCATCACGAGATGTTAGCACTGGGTGGGCCGTTGAGGGCTTACGTGGTACAGGACGGAATGACAACTCGCAAGGCAAAGAGCGTTGCGCATGGCCAGTCGGACCCCGCGATGATGACGACGGGCAGACCGACGCAGACAAGCACGCAGAGCGCGGTGGCGAGGCGCATGCAGCGCAGGTACCAACGGTACTTGATGCCTTGGTTGGACGACGTTGGCGGCAGCGTGTGCGACGGTCGCCAGAGAAGCTCGATCGGCAGTACGAGGTAGCACGCCGAGACGACGAGGAGCGGCGCCGCGTGGGCCTCGACCATCGCGGCCACGTCTGCGGTCGTTGCCGGCTAAAAATATGCGAACTGAGAAAGGTCGGTTTGTATCAATGTATCGACGGCTCCTAGCAGGAAGCGAGCGTCGCACTTGTCGGTGAGGGGCGCGAGACGAGTGGCGCGGGATCTCAACCAAACACAGTGCTCAATGTGTTGGACTGCCATGGACGCTCAATTTTGAATTGACGATTCCATCGACTTGGCCCATGATACGTAAGTAGCGCTCGCCAGCGTGCGCCGCTGGTGCACCGCACCACGACGCAGCCCGAGGGCCTTCAGCAAGCCGACACCACGACGAACGATGCTTGCTTGTTGCTCATCCCGGCCCAACGCCAAGACACGCCAACGAGCTCGCTCGCATCGATTGCCGGGGGCCCCGAGAGCCGGCGTGGTGTTTCTGCATTTGTTATGGCCTCGGACGATGAGCTGCAAGAACATCTTGCCCGTGTGCGCCGCTTGTACGATCGGATGCTCGTGTTGCAGCTGGAAGAGCTCCAACGGGCCAACGCCACTCAAGCTCGATCGCTGCGTTTTCAAGCACAACGCCAAAACGTACGCGACGAGCTTGCCCGCACCATCGCACAAGGCTCTCGAGCCTCGCCATTAGTAAGGCCATGCCACCTGGAGGTGTTGGTACGGACGACCTTAGCCTCCGAGAAGTTAACTCGGCGCACGGACGCCGCTCCACGGTCCTCCGCGTGCTCGCCCACAGTATAGCGCAACTTCAAGCAACCATCGCACGCCACGTCAGATCACTTTGACGCGCTCAAAGCGTCAGACCGTTTTGAACTGCAAGCATATATGCATGGCGAGGTCAAAGTCTATGGCCATGAGCCCATTGCGACGTTGCTCAACCAGACGGAGCGAAGCATCTCGTTTGCAAACGCCAACAGCGCTGGCATTACGAGCCGGAGAGCTGAGCCGGAGAGTGGCCAAGTCCAACCAATTCGGAGTCTTTGTTCAAAATTACATCACTGTACAACCGCAGGATGGGACACGTGGTTTAATTGACGGTCACGGCGTTAGCATGATGGAGCGTGTCGAGAATGTGCCTTGGCGCTCGGGGGGGCGCGGCCGTGACGAGGTGCTGAGGCCGAGCGACGCTGGCGATAGAATGCTGGCCGCGCGACGCGCCGACCCGCTTCGATCGCTCGAGACCGCTCGACCGCCGCTCTCTAGATCGCTCGTTGCACGCAGCGCCGTGGCCGAGATGCTCTCGGGGATTTGCGATCCCCCTGGCTGGGTGCAGTCGCGCAAAATGTTGGATCGGTGCAAGTATGTGTCCCATGTCGGGCTGCTGTCACGGTAGCTTGGGAGAACGTCGTTGATGAGCACTCGCAGCAGCTTATCGAGAAGCGTATCGAGGAGCCGGTCGGCAATGTCGCTATGTGGTTTGTTCACAAAAGCCGCGATGCGAGGACCGAGCGCGGACGCCGCCTGCGATGCAAGGACTCCGTGCGGTGCCAAGCAGAGGGTGTAAACAACGTCGATCGAGACGCGCTTGGCCTTGTAATGCTGCACGAGATGCCACGTAAGGAGCTCGGTCACTCGCTGCATTACCACCGCGTGGGCGAGAAACTGGTCAAAGTGCACGGAGTGGAGCAGGAAGCTCTGCAGATCCTCGAGCTGCACGGTAGAAAATGGGTCGTCGACGATCGAGTGCGACCGCAATCGAAACGTGCGCACCTTGGGCGCCGCATGCCGCTGGCCTACGCCACATCTCAGATCTTATGTCGGATCCTAGAGGTTCCTACTAAGTGATGCCGTTGGAAAGCCAATGTGCAATGTGAGAAAGTGCAGCCACAAAATGCCGGCATCGCCGACATGGTACGTGACCAGTGATGGAATCACCAACGACAACACGAGGCAGAGGTACGTGCCAAGGAGGCCGAGCAACGTGACGGCAAACGCAGCGCGCTCTCGGCGGTGGTACCGGGCGAGCACACCTGCCAAGAGACCCCATATGGTGGCATGGCCGACTTGTACTGCCCGAAGCGTCTAATATGTCAACAGGGTGGGCTAGCTGCCGAGTAGCAGAGATCATCGTACCTGAAAAGCATCAGTCGATTGACACGTATTGAGGCACAGCGGGGGCACGGACGCGTGCAGTGCAACGTACGGTGCGAGCGAGGCGAGGGCCAGCACGCTGGCGACTGTCGGACACACGGGCGGTGCAATAGCTCGCTGCAGAAACCGAAGCGTTTGCGTCGGCGATGACGTCAGCGGTGGATCTTTGTACACGAGCAGACCGTGCGTGAACGCACGCAAGAGGACGATGGACGTCTCAGCAACGAGAAAGATCGAACTACAGCGCGCCTTATGCAACCATTTTCAACGTGTTAAGACCACACCTTGTGATCGCCGGGAGGAGGAACTGCGTGACGTAGCCCACCCAGCAAGGCGAGACGTCGCTAATGAGCACAATGCATGGCAGCAGGAGGCATTGCAGGACGCAGAGCAGGTGTAGGAGCCGCACGCCCCGTCGTTTGGGCACCACAGACGTGGCGGGGCCGTAGACACTCAGGCGGTACGGCACACTTATACACGCGACGGCGACGAGCAGCACGGGCACGGCGCGGGCGCCGATCATGCTGGCTCAAAAAAGGCGGCGGGCGTTTCAGCTGCAGTTTGAACCATCCGAATGAAACGACCTTGCGCTGTCGACTTATTTGCGTCGTTCGTACATCCCATGGCGACTGGACGACCACGAAAGCTCTACTATCAGCGAGGCAAGGGTCGTGCAAGGTTGTGTGAAGCTCGCCCAGTGCCCGTGCTGTCCGTCGTTCCGCTGACAATAGCTCTGACATTATTGTTAATGAAACGAAGTCTAGATAACAATGAAACGAAGTCTAGACAAGTAGTTTTGTGGAGTTTTGATAACTCTACATGCAGACAAATGGGGCTAGCGGTAGCCATCGTCGTCGCCACGAGCTACGGTACGCTACGACTGGGAGAGGCCGGCTTGCCACGGCGGCTGTGGGGATTGTGTCATCGCACCCAGGTTTGTGCCATAAAAGGGTACGATCATCGTAACCACTCTGTTATAACATTTTGTGTTGATCAATCCGTGTGCTTTACTGAATATCCATGCTATTCTAACAACCCATAACACGTGTTACGCCGCGCATGCACCACTTTTTGTCATGGACGGTCGCCCGCAAATCATTTCACTTGCCATTTTCGAGCCGTCGACCACACGCATGCAGCTCCTCGCCTTCCTCGGCCTCGCGGTCGTCTGCCACGAAGCGCAGGGCATGAGCCTCGGCGCGATGGCGCCGCCGACGATCGACGAGTTTGACGCGGCCATCCACCGCCAGCACGAGCTCCACCGCATGGGCGTGCCGCCGCCGCCGCGGCAGTCCAAGGCCGCGCGTCAGGCCGCGCTCGACAAGACGTCGCGCATCATCCAAGGTACGCATACTGCTACCACCATATAGCGCTCATGCGTACAATACAGAGCACAATGCGCAGCCGAACGCGAGCTTCAAGATGCGTTATAACGCGATGAGCGACTTCTCCGACGACGAGTACTCTGCGCTGCTGCAGACCAAGCCAGACCACGTCTACACGCCGGAGCACGCTGCCGCCCACCACCGGTGGGGTCCCGAGGTCGACGTGCACGCGTCGGCGCAAACGACGACGACATCGTACGCCGAGAGCATCGACTGGTCGACAAAGGACAATGGCAAGTACGTGACGCCGGTCAAGAACCAAGGCATCTGTGGCAGCTGCTGGGCGTTCACGGCCGCGTCCGTGCTCGAGTCCATGACGGCGATTGCGTCCAACACGCAGGCGGTGCGTCCGCCATTCGCCAACGACCTCATGCCTCATGTGCAGCGTAGATTCCGCTCAGCGTCGAGCAAATTCTGTCGTGCTCGTCGTCGCTGCAGCACGTTTCAAGCGCGTACCCCAACAAGATGATCTCGTCGGCGCGCGGCTGCGACGGTGGCATGACGTTCCTTGCCTTCGAGTACCTCAAGCAGTCGGAGCCGCATGGCCTGACATGCAACGCGCTGAGCCCGTACCGTATGCGGGTCAAGGCCGACCCGAACGCCGCCTCGTCGGCCACGTGCACGTCTGTCGACGTCGTTTCCAAGTGGTCGTCGTCGTCGTCGTACCTCAGCATCCAAGTAACCACGCTCCACGACGTCAAACATATCTCTTATGCTGCTGTCAACGAGTAGAACAGCTACGACGACGTGATGAAGGCGCTTCAGAACGGACCGCTGAGCATCAGCATTGATGCGAGCGGCGCGGGCTTCCGCCATTACGGCAGCGGTATCTACGACGCGTCCGACTGCAAAAGCGACGGCGTCACAGTCGACCGTACGTCGCACATTCTAGTCCAAATTTGCTAAGTTGCGTGGTATTAGACGCCGTCATGCTCATGGGCTACGGCGCCACGGCAGCCGGAGAGCTCTACTGGATCGTCCGCAACTCGTGGGGCACCATGTGGGGCGAGAACGGCCAAATGCGCATGAAGCGAACACCGGCAGCGTCCACCTCCAAGTTTGGCCCGTGCAATGCCTTCCTCTATGCGACGCAGCCCACCGGCCTCTCGTATGAGAGCACGAGCAAGTGCGTGACGAGCCCTGCGTCGACAAGTGACGAGGCCACGCTGCACTACTTGCCGTCGAGCGGCCTCTTTTATGGGGTCGCGTCGGCCCTCGCGGCGCTCGGTGTTGCTGGTGCGATCGCGGGCGAGTGGCGCCTCCGGTCGGCGTTTCCCAAGCAAACGTACGTCGAGAGCTTCCTCAACCACCAGCTGCCGAACCGCGAACAGCTCGTTGCGCACATGGCCAAGAAGAAGATCAAGGCCGACGCGCTCGTCTAAGGGCCGCTTCCAACTGCCTAATCCCGCGCGCAATGTTAACACGACTAGTGTACAATGACGGGTTGCTTTCAGTTCAAGGTAAGGTGTAGGGTAGACGACGTCATCACGGAATTCATAGTCTCGGAGCCAAACCCTAACCCTTGGCATGAGGTTAGGGTCCTTCATCAATCGCGTTGAGCGGTGGACGCTTGTACGGCGTGAACGGCTGCTGTGATGTAGACACGGATCTAGTCGAGCACTGTGGTGGACTCGTTACGTCAAGTGACCGACGGATGTGAGCCGGCGGCGTCGTGGCTGCCCGGTACTGCCCCGTCCGTGGTGTTGGATCCGTGCTCGTTGGTCGTTGGCAAGAGCGTCGACGGCGCGTGGCTTATGGTTGTCATCGACGGCGTGTTCGTCAGGAGTAGTGGCTCGGGTGGGGCAATGTCGGCGGGGCGCTGCACAAAGCTGTACCAGAGCCGACCACTTTTTTGGTACTTTGGCAACACGTGCTGGCAAATGGCGCGCAGCAAGTCGGTTTCGAACGCAGCGTAGAGCTGGTCGAGCGTCTCGCCGACGACCGCGTCGGGGCGGCCGCGTACGACGGAGGCTACTTTGGGGGCCATGCTGAGGCCCGTCATGGTCACGAGCGGCCCGTTTGGGCTCATGCAGTCGTTGTAGACGACCGCCGGCAGCACCTTGCGCTGCTTATGGAGCTGGACAAGGCGCCACGCGAGCGGCTCGTGGGTGCGCCCCAAGGTTTCGCAAAATGCGAGAAAATCCGAAAAATAATCGTCGAGCGACAAAAAGCGCCGGATCTCGTCCATCTCTTGGCGCAGCGGCACCGCGTCCGTGTCCTCGGCCGTCGATTTGTTGGAGCGAAAGCTCATGGTGCGCGCCGAAATCGTGCGCAGATGCGGCCCAACGCCGGCTACGCGCTTGCCTACACAAAATTTGTGAGGGGTAGGGTCCACGAAATCTCGACAAGAGTGTACTTTTGCGATAGCCGTCAAAGTACCAGAACGCGAGGTTGCAATGCAGCACGTCCATCGCGGTATAGTCGAGGTACAAGGCGTAAACCCCGTCCCAGTGCAAGGCCAACGCCACGAGAATGATGCCAGCAATGACCAGCGCCGACGCAAAGATGCCCTTGCTCGTCTTTATATGGATGGTCCGGAAACGCTCCATGGACTTGCCGTGCGTGCGGCTGTACAGCAGAGAAATGTACTTGCAGCCAACGGCCCACACGCAGCCTTGGCTCACTTGTATCCAGTAGAGCGACTAGACATTGTAAATGCTACAAAATACCACGGGGAAGCGTACGCGGAAGGTGTCGTCGTCTTGGCACGCCGCGATCGGCAGCGCAAAGATCGAAGAGGGCGTTGCGGCGAGCGGCGCCATGTACAAGAGAAAGCAGACGCAGGCGCGGCGCATCGACGGTTGATTTGTCTTTGGAATGGCCTCGACGCTCGGGCCGCGGCGCTGGGGTACCTCGGGCGGCTTGTCGCTTCTTGCAAAGACAGTTAGGACGGAGAGATGTCCGAGGAGGTAGAGGCCACTACGCGAGATGAGTTGCGAGACGCAGGATGCGGATGGTGCAAGGCTGTACCTGGTGAAGGGCGGGAGCACGTAGCGAAAGAGGTAGCCGACCGCGCACGGAACAGCATCGCCAAGCGCCAGCACAATCGGCATGACGACAATCACAGCAACGCTCGAGAGCGAGACAAGCGACATGGTGTAGAGGTACCAGTCATACTTGCGGCCGCGAATCGCAGCGAACGAAAGAAGGACCGGTGTCGTCGCGCAGGCCAAGAGGTGGAGAAGTAGCAGGAGCGCGAGAAGCGAGACGCTGAGCACCGGGCCAAAGGCGGCGCCAACCTGCGCCATCACTCAGATCCTATTTTGAGATGTTGATATGCACTTTCTGCGGTATCGGTTTCATCTAAAGACAAAGCGTGCATGCCAGTCAGTAGTCGAGAGCTCAGAATGATGGGAGTGTGGACTTGGGACATGGTTTCCAGGCCATATCAACGCCATTGCAAGCCTCGCGCTGGCGTCTCTGTCACCCAGACAGAGTTTGACACTCAGGACGCGATCGAAGCACCGAGTGGCTTATACTTCAACGTTGGGTTAACTACTCTCGGCCGCCCGCTCGTAACTCCAGTCGCCCGAGAACACGAGCGTTGGCGCCTCATTCTCCCAGAGCGCTATGCGGTCGTGGGCCGTCCACGCCGCCACGTCCGCCGCTACCGCCACGCGCAGCTGGTACAACTCCACCGTACACTGGAGTCTTGTCGCTTCGGTCGTGGCCACGTGCAGCGTCGCGCAGTAGCTCATCTGGTCGCCGACGTCGAGCGTGTAGCAACGCAGGTCGACCGCGTCGTCATCAAGCCGACCGACGTAGTCGCCCTCTACGCATGCATGTTCAATTTTATAAAAGTATGCGACATGGCATGGAGTGGGCAGAGTACCGAGGTGTCGGGTCGCACCGGCCATCGTCGACTCGCCGTTGGGCCACGCTCGATGCACATGCGGTCGACCGTCGAGCACAAAGCAGGTGGGCTGACTCACATACACGCGCCACGCCGACTGCACCTACCCACACATCGTCGTCGTTAGCGAGTGTTTGGAAATGGAAATGGTACGTGGAGCTGCGGACCCAGCAGCGTCGTGCGCACGCGAAAGAGACTCGAGGCCCAGCGCACGAGCGTCGCCGCCGAGAGCGCGTGGTGGCGCACAAAACCAACACTGGGTACGTCGACCACCCAGTCGCCACAGAGCCACGACCGCGCACGCACCGCGCCCAGGACACGGTGCTCTGGCCACACGCTCTGCGCGGCCTCGGCGCTCTAGACACGAGTGTCATGACGACCATATCGTACCAATAAGAAAGCAGAGATACATCACAAACACCGATAAGATATCAAACGGGATAACAGTACCAGAGACACTTCGCGGAAATGGGCCACGCACGCCTGGTAGCCGAAAAAGCTGTCGGTCACCAGCCGCGTCGTCATCTCGGCCGAGAGACTCGCCAGCGACGCGACGGCCTCGACTGCCACCTGCGCCACCGACGTCTGGTGCTGCTTGGCCAAGAACGCCTCCGACACGCTGTGCAGCAGCTGCACGCAGTCGCTGTACGCGCGGGCGAGGTCGGTCCGCTGCAGGATGCAGTCGCGGTGCGAGCGCACGACGGCCTCGTACTGCGTCCGGTTGTGCGGATGCAGCAAATGGATGAGCCAGTCGACAAGGACACTGCTCGTCGTGCGATCGTTCGGTGGCGTCTATGAGATCGGAGTGCAATCTCAAGTGCCCTACCCCCACTCGCATCGTGTGATCTGTCATACCTGGTTGCTCTTGAGAAGCTGGTGCAGAGGGGAAGAAGATACCGGCGCCGGGTGCATCAGGTACTGCACGAGCTTGTGCTGGGCCGTAGCCGAGACAGTGTCGACCTGGCCCACATACAAGAGCAGCAGACCCAAGTGGTACGCCATGCGTTGCGTGCGACTCGACACGAGCGCCGTCGACGTCTCGTGCTCGAGTGTCGGCACCAGCGCCGCGTCATCTCGTGGCGCACTACTACTGCGGTACGTGGCAATCGTAAAGCCGGGCGACATCGCCTTGGCAACAAGCCGCCAGTTCCCACGTGGCGTCACCTCAAAGACATAGGCCTATGGACCAATGCAGACTTCATGACGTGTCATTGCATCGATGACAGACCGTGACGTGGTGGCGACTGTCGCGAATGGCTTGGCTGCGGCTGCTCTTCCAGCCGTACGTCCAGCCATCCGCGAGGTCGAGGTTGAAGCTGCTTGTGAGCACCGTCTGCGTCCGCGTCAGGAGCAATAAGATCGTATATATGTACTACCTCAGAGACGACTTCTTGGTGGCCGGCGTGCCACGTGACCGCGGCACAGTGGAGCGCGTCGGCGGACAGCGGTGGCGTCTCAAAGCCAACGTCCCAGTCAGATGCTGTCGCCGGCGCAATGCGCAGCAGCGACGCGTACGTGCCGTCGACGCGCGACGGCCACGTGGTCTTGAGCACGAGCGGCGCGCCGCAGTAGCGGTAGTAGGCGTGGCGCGGGCAGCAGTGCGGGAAGCATCTAGTGGCTCGTTCTTTGAGCACAAGTCTGCGCAAGCCGTCGGTCGTACCGGAGCACCTAGCAGCAAGA